CTTTGTGTAAAAAATACAGTTTTCGAAGCACCACAAACTGATATATACAAGCTAAAAATCACATATTATGGTCATCTTGCTTCATAATGTAGAGTTTGAATTGAATAAAACGGGTACAAAAGTGATAATATTCCATATAATCTCGAAGATTCCACTAAATTTTGATGAGTTGAGGTGGTGGTTGTAATTATCCAAACAAGAGGGGTGTTTTTGTAATTTGGTCATACCTCAGGGGGGTGTTTGTAATTTACCTTAAATAATAATAATAAATTTTATTTATTTATTTTGCCCTACTTTTATTCTTACTATTTTGCAAGTTGATGAACATATCTCAAGGTACAAATTTTTGTCTGTAATTATGTATTTTTTTTTTTTTGTTTTTGATGATGGAAGAACAAATAATTGTTCTTTCCTAGATATATAGAATTTATTTTGTGATTTGTGGAGAATTGTAATTAATAGTACTTGGAAAGACTAAATAGCTTCATTATTGTAGAAAATTCAAAATAATTTGTATTAAGAGTAACATAATCAAGATACGTTGATCGAATTTGGGATTAATTTATCTGTGTGAATACCTGATTAGTAAAAAAGTTTGAACTCCGTTTTTTCTTTCATTAGATAAAATCTATTTCGATCACAATTTATGTATTTTGATGTGGTTTATTCCATATAATTAAAATAAAAGGAATTGATTCCATCGTACATTTAATCTTTAGCATGATCAACATTTTTAAGGTATATGATCTCTTATTGACTTAATTGCTTTTCAGTATTGAGTTAATTATCGACAAGCAATATCGTCTGACTTGAGCATCGAAGTGTAATCGTCTGTTAACACCCTCACGTGTAACATAGTGTGTTAAGTGGTTTTTGCAGAAAATTAAAGAAGAATATGCATCGCACACTTACCCAAAACTCGTGGCATTCGAACTCGTATTCCTTTCAACTATTCATCTCAAGTGATCCTGCATCACGTTGTATCCGTTCGTACGAGTTTTTTATTTTTATTTTTATTTTTATTTTACTTTGAACTTTATATATGTATTATGTATATATAAAGTGATACCAACAAGCCTTGTCTATTTTGTGTATGTTTAATTGGTTTAGGATGAAATATTTTAAAATAAAACAATCGACATCTATGATTAAAAAAAAAAAAAAAAACACTAATCAAAGTGTTACGCAAGTGTGTGTGTGTGTGTGTGTGTGTGTGTGTGTGTGGAGTAGTTGCTTATGCGTAAATTAATTTGAACATATTGCATTTGTTTATGCAATAATCTATGCAAAATAATTATGTTTTCTCTCAACACCAATATTCCCTCCCCGTGTCCAAATATGAAATATTCTTTGGCCTTGGCCTAATCCACCCCCCGGCGCGTCGAGCCCCACCCCCAGCGCGTGGAAAACCGAACTTCAGAAAACCCCAACCACATTCCTCGGCGTCAACATGGCAACCCCTCACGTGACTTGTGGGCGTGACCCTGTCCACCTCATCATATTATTCTTTATTGTTTTCTTCTCTTCTTCTTACCGTGATCTTCAATATCTTTTTCCTCTATTAAAATAAAATAAAAATAAAAAAGAATTGAATATTTTCTTTCTATTCTTCCGAGTTTCAGTCTGCAGCTGGGTGTATATGAACCGCATGAGCTGTACATCACTCGTTTCGATTTTTTTGAAAGGTTATAAACATGGGTCGTAAATCGTAAATCGATTTATCAAAAACTCAAATCGTAAATTTGTAAGATTTTTGATTCTTTCGAAGATAATATGGTAATAAGGATATATAGATGCTATAAAGAAATTATATAGTATAATAACAAAATTCGATATTTTTTAGAATTTATGAAATCAAATTATAGAAGTTGTGTCTTGATCCTTTGGAATTGAAATTCAATAGGTGTTTTAAGTTTTAACAAAATTTTCAACACGATAAAATCAAAAGTTATGACATTTTTACATCTATTTCAGTTTTCATATTCTACTACAAATTAAGAGTAGAATCAAAATAGTATATATATATTGCAATTTTCTTTTAATACTTTGTTTTAATAATATTTTAAGACGAGACACTATTGAAAAGAACGTGTTAATCAAATTAACTATTTATAGTTAAAGTGCAAATATCTTTTTAATTGAATTTTATCATAAAAAAATATAGTAAACTTAAATTTCTTTAAATCGTAAAAGTTGCAAACCGTAAGAATCGAACCGTAAATCATATGATTTAATAGGTTTTTGGACATTTGATTAATTAATCATAAACTCGAATCGAAAGATTTGAATCGTAAATTATAAGATTTTAATAATCATGACTATAAAAATATGAACGCAACGTCCTAGGGTTTCAAAATTTAACAAAATCAAAATTACAATAATTGGAGTAGTAATAATGTAATAAAATCACCAATGTAATGTGGTGCATCTAATCTTAGCTAATCCCAACTCATAATTAATTAAATTAAATCAAAGTCGCATTTCCCCAAAAATCGCTAATTGTTTATACGAATGGGATCACATAAACGAACAAGACGAGAAATTCTGCTTAATTGTTTTTTTAAATCATTAATTAATATATTTTAATTAATTAATTAAATAGTTTCCCGGTCAGCGCCTGATGCGCTCTAGATTCTCCGGGAAATGAGTTATTTCAACCTCATCCCACTTGTTTAAATATTCCCTTATTTTAAAGTTTAAATATTTAATCACCCACCCGTTGGATTAATTAATCCCAATAATCAAGATTAACTTCTAACGTACACACACAAAAACACACACATATTACATATATATATATATAGATATATGTTTATATATATATATCCGGTCAACATGTCTCACTCTACGGCTAGTTTTCGAATGCTTATAAGACACTATATTCCATATTCCTTGTGTTTGTCCTCTCCTCTCTAGTGTATATTAATCTATATATTGTCCCAACCTCTCTCTCTCTCTCTCTCTCTCTCTCATGGGACGGGATTATTTAATCCCAACCCTAATAATGTGCCGGGCCGGTGCGAATCTAGCTAAGAACTTCATATGGACTGCATAAATTAAATAAAAAACAATACAATTTACATTTTTCCGAAAACCAAACAAGAAAAAAACTAAATCCGATTCCACTCCAAAACCATCACCCTAAAAAATGAGAGATTAGTATATATTTAGGGGATTATATGTTACATCTGGTTATTTACACTGGGTGGATTTCAACCGTATATCTGATTAAATAACTACCCATTAAACACATATACACATGAGTGTGTGTCATTATATGTAAATACACGA